AACTTTAATTACATGCAGCTTATGGTTATCTTCCTTCGCACGCTTAATTACGTCCCCACTTAACGTCATAACGTTGAGCTTATAGTGTTGCCGTTCATCACTTTCATCGCCACAGGTGTGGGAGAATTATATTTTTAATATAATTTCATTTTATTATCAACATAGTGTTTTTTAAAACGATAAATTAAAAATTATAAGTAAAGCTTAAATTGCATTTTAAATTGTTGCGTCCTTTGTCATAACAAATTTTATCAGTGTTATTACAAAAAAGATAAACACGCGTTGAACACGTGTTTAAAAAAAATTCTATTACAAAATCGTATTTAGGCACTGTTTAAGGCTAAACATCCCTTAAACATTGTTTAAAATATAAACACTCGTTGAGAGTTGTTTAACGCGTGTCTAACCTCAAAATAGGTTGCGTTTTGTTGAAAATTCATCCATATTTTTAAGATAAAGATTATATTGATATGGTCGATTTAGATTACATGGAAAGCTTTTAGGACGCGTAAGTAAAGCGAACGCGAATTAATCCATTTGAGCAATACAATGAACTTTGATATAAAAGAAAGTACATATTTAGTGGATTGTTTGCTGACAAAATATATGAAATTATTTAAGGCGATATTCCACATAATCCTCGAGATGAAAGTATAGATCTGCAAATAAATACACGTAGCATGTGCATGTGTGCATAGCTTCTGTGTCAGAACACAGCTTGTGAACATGTGCAGCGTTGGGTTCGGCATCAGGTAGTCGTTGTTCCGTTTCTTCATATTATTTCGCTATAATTTTACTTAACCTTACTCTAATATGAATTATGAATAGAAGTGCCAGTTTAAAAACGTTAATTTTGTACTTTCTTTTTTACTTTTGAAAGTTATTAGCTAATACGTTATTGAACATATCTTTTTACGATTAGAATTTATCATAAGTCTGTATAAGATGTGCATATAATGGAACGTGTATGAACGAATGAAAGCCAACTGAACGAATGCTTTACGGGTTGCATGTTTAAATCGGCGTTAGTTAGACTACGACTAAAAATGGATTTGTAATAGACAAAGTTAAACATCATTTTAAACAGGGTTTATATTCTTAGACATTGTTTACTTAAACACATGGTAAAACCCTATCTAACATTACTTTTGTAATAACACTGTATTAGTTTTAAAGGATATTATTGCATTTGAGCTTCAATATTATGTGATATATTTTGTTCCTTTGCCAGGTTTACGTAGGGATATGGGTCCTTAACAAATGACTCCTTTGAGACGGCTTTGTTATGAAGGCATAAACTTGAAATTGCATTTTAAAGTGTTCCGTCTTTTGTCATAGCAAATTTTATTAGTTTTAAAGGATGCTCGGGAGAACTTGGAAGTATTATTGCATCGAAGCTTTAATATCACGTGATATATTTTGTTCCTTTGCTAGTTTTATGTAGGGATATAGGCCCTAAACATAAGACTTCTTTGAGACGGCTTTTTGTATACAATACACATGTCCAGGTGAGCTCCCGGCAGCCTTTATATTTTGTAGGGAAAAATATATATTATTATTGTCAAATTTAATCATATAGGATAAAAAGATAGTGGAATGAAGCTAGTGTTGGCTGGCGCTGAAGCTGAAGCTGGTGAAATAGTGGAAGTTGGTCCTCTAACTCGCAAACTTGAATAAATAGCGAATGGTGACTCGCTCTTGATTATTAGATGAGATCTTTAATTCTATATTTGTTTTCCCTATATTCGAGAAATAAATAAAGAAAGTAACACTAACGAGATAGGGTTTAGAGGTAAGGCTACTAAGTGCTGCTTTTTGTTGGCTGTTCTTAAATAAATAAATAAAAGTGTTAGATTCCGTTGTTATGACTGCGATCATCAGTAGGCCCTAAAATGTTTAGCGAAGACAAAGAGGGTGGATATTTAATGCAACATTAGGCAGAAAATCGAAACAACTAATAATATGCCTGTATCCAATGGTTGCAGTTATGTGTATACTTGATATGGGTTTAAGGTTCTAATTTGTTCTATTCGTTGTACATACCTACATTTTAAATTTAAGTGTGAAATATTATTTGTAACATTCATTAACCAATGTTATTACTTTTTTCGGGTCACTTATATTTTATCAGAGAATAGGTCAGCAAAGAATTATGCGTTTGAGGTCATCTCAACTGGCGCTATCCAAACACTTAAGTAATAATATGGTTTATGTTCAAATAAACGACGTGATAAAAAAATTGGAATAAAAGGCATATATTGGAGTGTGTCAGTGCTTGGAGAGAACATGTTGACATATGTGACTTCTAATACCACATAAAATTCAGTAAACGTTCGATGTTTTCAGGGGACTGTCAATATCCCGTCACGCTCTTTGTCTTATTTGAGACAAAAAATTGACGTTCCAGTCAATAACGGTACAGTTTTTGTTTAACCGATTGTTATTGTTAGAGTTTACTATGTAATACAAATAGTTATAGGTACTTGTTATTTATAATTATGTTCTACTAGTTCAAGGACCTTAATTCGGTTTAGAGTGACAAGTCATCATGTTACGTCACCGATTGTCGGAAGAGTAAGCAGGTTATGCGTCTCTCGGCCACCAGGCGACCTCGTTAGTCTGATGTTTTGTTACAATTGGAGTACCGTTGCGAACACTTTCCATTACCCAATGTTCCGTTATACGATCAGCGTTTACAATTGAACCTATGTATTCTAATATATTTAACATTTTATATGTATAAAGTTACCCATTGTCACACAAATGAATCACCTATTTTCAATTTCAAAGTCTAAAAGCGGTACAAAGTCTAAAAGCGACTTGGCGGCATTGAGCATTTCACAATTTTACTTACCTAATATTTTAAGAATTTAAATTGCCATAGATTATTTAAGAAGTTTTTAATATTTAGTAAATCATTTACTGTTGTCTGTTGAATCTTAACGAGCATTTAAATCTTATGGGATACCTTTCATCACTATAATATGTCAAGACCATGTAAAGGGCAACCGTTTTGCAACTGGCCTGTAGCATGCAAATTGCCGTATGACCTGATAATATTATTATCCTCGCTGAATGTCATTGTGTCGGTGAAGTTTTGATATTATAAAAATATATTAACAAAATATCTCATCATCGTATTTTATACGTAAAGAGTTTCTTTTCGTAGTTTGTTTTTATTGATTGTCTATCTACTATGAATACGAAAGGTGACCTCTTTTGCGTTGATCTAGAAATGAAGTTATCGGTTGCGCTGATAATTCTCAAGCAAAAGTATCGATCTAATGTCAGTTTGTTCTATATTAATTTATGAAAGCGGAAAAATAAATATGAACTGTAGTGAACTGCATGTTATAGTATTCTGCTTTCTATTACAAGTGATGATTGCAACGTATATTTTATCGTTTTCCGCTAATTGTGATTTGTTCGATCAAAATAATATTTTTGTGTAGATGTTTTAGGTAAGTAGGTTGTATATAATCATGTTGATTATAAAATACGTTCTTATTTCGATAGATATGTTAAAACTATTATGAGATCTTGTATCGTCTTTACACAGAAGCAATTTAAATGGTACAGTGGAACCTAGGTATCTTGAAATTTCAAGGGAAATGCTAAAAATTCATGTTAATTGATTTAATTTTGCGAGTATTTCAAGATTGGTTGTACGATTACGATTTTGAGTTATAAAGACAAATTGTAAGTTCATTTTTTTAGTTGTAATGTCATCATTAATTAAAAAATCGATTTAAGTAATGTAAACAAAAATTTCCATTTAATACAATTACCTACACTTTATAATTAATTGCTTTGCTATATGATACTACTTATTCTTTTATTTTGAAGAATAAATCGAATAAGTAAATAATTGTATCAAATAAAAAGGCTAAAAATTAATTTGTTTATATACCCTTAAAAAATATTGCCAAAAAATATTTTTTATTTGTTGCATACCCTCTTAATGTGACAGATCGTCATCTTTCTTCACTTTTTGTTTGAAAAAGTTATTGTTTTCAGAACTAGCAAAAGTAAAAGCTAGTACATGACGCATTATCTCCAATTTGTACATTCACATTTTTCAGATTTTTCAAATTAACTTCTGTGTTCATGTCAAGCTTTAAAGTTAGTAGGTACCGCAGTTTTTTCTTTTTACAATAAAAAACGTCATTGCTCACTTCCAACCTTCCACATAACTGTCTGTCCTTTGAACTTCGATTTATAGTGTATTAATTTTGTTGTTTTTTAAAACTGACATGTTCATTAAAATTAGAGTCATCATAGTTCTTTACGGGATTGCTACATAGTTATACCTTACCTTACCTTTTTATAATGAGTCCCCAATATTTCGGTTGTTTCAAGCGCCATCTTTCAATTTCTACTGAAAGTGCGTCCTACTTAGGGAAATAAAGTTTTGTTTGAGTTTTAGTTACATTAATCGTAGATATAGCGTAATTGGAGCTTCAACTTTTTTTTTCATTTTTGTCAATTTTTTTCGTTTTTTCGCTGCGAATTGTGGTAAGTAGGTATAACGAGATTTGACTCATGTTCTATTGTTGTAAGTTTCTAATTACAATATTTCGAAATCTACAAAATTTATCGCCATACCTTAGAACTCTTGAATGTTCTAAAATAATACTATAAATGAAAATCCTTTAGGTCGTTATTTTTTTAGTTTATCGTGTTCAAACACACGGAAGCGGTAGCGGAATCCTTGTTTTATAATATCTAGCGATAATGGTTTAAATTGTTGTTATTGTCTATCTTTCAACGTAATTTGAAGATCAACTTTAAAGGCCAAATGTTGTATCTCTAAATAAATAATCTTAAATTGAAACAACAACAGTGATAAAGATTTAGGACAGTCGGCTGGGGTAATATGTATGTAGGTGTCAAGTGATAAGTGAAGTATCAGATCAGAGGGTGGGTTTCAGTAGCGGCTCATTGTGCTATCATATGATGGACGATATTCAGTCCCCTCCACTCACAGTTGCTCGCCGGTCAGTCAGTAGCTGTGTAAGCGCCGCGCGCCTCGCACGCTAGGCACAGGCAGCGCACGCGCATAAACGTGCCGCAGTGAAAGTCTCGCGCGCAAGTTTCGCTACGATTTCGTTTGCCAACGTCTTCGTCTAGCTATTCTGTTTGTTTCTTGCGCCAGTTCAGCGGCGAAAGGAGGTCGGTGTTCGCTAAGACGTAGCCTGTAAAAATAATGTGATTTTGTGATTATAATATATTTCAACATTTGTGTGGCACTACATTATTATTAATATGAAATAATTAATATTGAATTCGGTCGCGTAATCAAACAAATCGTATTTATTTCGACATATCATTAATTGAACCCTTTAACATTTATTTAGAAGCATTTTAATTATCGTTGTCTATTTATAAATTTTTGATCGTTATTTATTTCCTAAAATACCTTCAACAACAAATATTACTCGCTATTCTGTTTATCCATCTTTAAAATTTTTGTTCTTTTTTATATGTAGCAAAATTTCATGTGCTGCTACGAAAGACTACGAAATCGTAGATAACTTGAGTTAATTTAAATTAAGCAAGCGTAGATAACTCGAGATCATTTAAATTATACTTAAGTGAAGCTTTAACATAAACGTTGATGCAAAGTATTCAATATGGCTATAGTATGGCTATAGTTATGCTGTCACATGATTTGACAGTGAAGTGAAAACGAACGTGCGACCGTGACCTCAGTCATTTCTTTAAACCTGAGATACTAGTTATTTCAGGCTAAACCCTTTGTACTTAAAATACTTATGTGTATCAAATCGCTTTGTCCGGCGAGGTCACCACAATGTATAGAAACCTTCTAACAGCCTTCCGGGAATTTGTTTGGTGACTTCGATTCATCACGTGATCAAATCTATAAACACTTTTTAAATTGTGGTGGTTTGAGAAATTGTATTATAGAGGTAATGTACAGGTAATTTTTATTATTCCCAAAACAAGTTTCTTTTCTATCATAGACCCTCATTTATTTTAAAGATACTCTGCTTTGGAGACTTTTAATGTCTTTCTTGATTTCTGACAAAGAAGCTTTTATATATTGTTACTACTGTCACCCCTGGTTTGAGGGTGCAAATAGCAAATTCCCAGCCTCTATTTTTTAAATGATAATCAAATATGAAATTTTAATGCTTTGTGCACCAAAACTTTTATAAAAAACTGCACGTAAATTGTGACAATTTTTTGATCAATTCCAACAGCAATTCCAACAATATATATTATATAATATATATTATAGACCAGTTGTCCTGCAATTCCATCCGCTTATATTTTAGCTTATGTCAACCCTGTATGACGTAGCTGCCCGTAGGATAAAGAATTTTAAACACGGTCCAGTAGTTACGGATCATATTCAAAATGTTCTGTAGCATTGTTTAATTTTGAAATATTTACACACTAATTATTTCATATTCCTATTCCTAGTCGTTAAAAATGTTATGTTTTTTGCCTAGTATTTAATTTCCAATGTAATATAGTAAAAGCTCCTTGTTCACGGCTTCATTATTTGCGTTTTCATTATTCGCAGGTGAAAAATTTGTAACCGAATTTCTGTACTCGCGGCTAAAATCTGCGTATTCGCGGATGCAATCGGTAACATAAAGGAATTCAGCGTCGTTTATTAACGCATCGCCATGTTTTAAATACTTCGGGCTTATGTCAGGGTGGCTTTTACAACGCTTTGTAATTTTTGCTTCGTTGTAGCATTTAGAGAATACTTTTATAAAAGCTACATTATGAACACTATATGTAGTTACTTAATTATGAATCTGAAATTAAAGATATTTAAAAACTGACAATAAAGATTGATTTTAATAGGTACTTCTACAATAACCTTACCTCAATTGTATTTATTTTGACATAAATATAACTTTTATTTAAGAACTTTTGAACGTATTATTCTATACAAAAAGCCATCCCGTATTCGCGTTATCTGTATTAGCGGCATATTTAAGAAAAGTATTCTCCGCGAATAAGGAGCTTCGTAACTTGTTTATAAATAATTGACATGTTCTCTTGACTTTAGATAGCAATTAAGAAAATTAGTTAGGGGGTATCGAAAAATTTATCTAGACGACGTTATGCTTGTAGTTTCTGAACAAAACAAAGAATGTGATAATTAGCAGCTTTTAATTTTATATTGAAATAATTTTGCGATCTAAATCTTACGAATACGGCATAAGTGTATTCGGTGTACTGACTACACGATTCTAGAAAATTACTTTCGCCCAGGAAATATTTTCTAACGTGAATAGAAAATTGTGAAGATCGTGTAGCTTATAATAAATCCAGCTAATTTAAAATCTACCTTGGTGTAGGATTAGGTTAGATTATAATAATTCTGGTAAATTTATCTAAACACTCTGTTTTTATAATTATCTCTGACAGTTAACCCACATAAGCGTCTCGTGGTTGTTTTGCATTTTGAATGCTTTTATTATGTTTATTTTAAAACCCTCTTAGGTAAATACTTGAAAATCGTCTTCGGTAACGAAGTTATTGAGTTCGCAATATTGTTATACATAAAGAGATGTGCGACAGTTTTATAAATATTGAATGTGGAGACATAATTTTTCTATGACTTATTGAATGCGTGGGAAAACATTGTTTAATGATTAAAGAAAAAGTAGAACAGATTTCAAACTTTAAAAAAGTGATGAATAATACTTATCTCAGAAGCGACTTATTTAAGAAAATTATGCTATTGAAGTTGAGTGGAGGTTTTTTGTATCAACGAGTTAAGTATACATACTCGTTGAACATAGAAAATCTTGCTTTCAGATTTTGAATGAATTCTAAATACGCAGTCTTTTGTTTTTTAGTTATATTTAGGTGATATCTGTTGGAAAGCGTGTTTTGTTTTGTAATAAAATAAAAATTACTTATTCGATTTCGATAAAATTAAAATGGGACGACTTCGATCCATCAAGCTGTCGAATAAAAAAATAATTTTGAAAATCGGTCAACAATTCTTTTATGTTAGTAAAAGTAAAAATATCCAAGGAACATAAGAGAACTTCCATTAAGTTATTTTAAAAGGCAACTTACCGAATGGCTCTGTGATAGATGCTTTTATTCCAGTATTCTCTATCCTAACATCTATGTAACCATGTTTCTAGCAAAATAAATTATTATTATTATAATTGACGAAAATATCGGTGAACATGGATCATCGCCGTCGAACATATAACCTCCTCCGTTACGATTTTGAAGACGTTAGTAAAAAAGAGTATTTATTAAAGTAAAAAGAGTATTTTTTTATCAAAGTTATCTCTATAATTTTGGAAACTGCATAGTAGTAAGCTTGTTTAAATCAATTTACTCACTGAAATAAATTATAAGAGTTAAATAATCTAATTAATTGTGTCTCCAGTAGTAGTAGCGAAATGTTAAGAAATACAATTTTTTTTTACCATTATATACATATAAAAAAATTCACTGCTGGATATATTATACATTGTGCCGTTTGGTTACCATTTCTGTACACGAATCAGTCTATATAAATATTTTTGATATTTTAGGAATGAGTCAGCCGATTTAGTTAGTTGTTTCGATTAATATATTCATTGCAAACTAAGCGTTTGTTGATAACAAATTATGGAAAACACCATTGAACCTATCTAGACGAAATAGAAAACATGTTTCTATAACATCAAGTATATTATTGGATAATGGACCATCTATTAATAAATTGTCATATTCGGAATCCTTAACTTGTCCTTAATTTGTCCTTAAAATGTTTATGAAATACAAAATTTTCCACTTACGCCTTTTAAAAATTTAGAGTGTTATTATTTTTAGACTTGCCGTATTATTAGTTTGAGAATACAACGTCGTCAAGAGTTCCCGATACTTTCCTAAACAGAATGTGTGTGTAATTTGTTTTTGTCCAATTATTCTACCTAAAATATCTATTCGCTCGTGTAGTAGTTGAGGTATGTTGAAACAGAACAGGTACACATAAGTGGAGTCGTATTTAGTGTATTCATGTTTATAAAGAATCGGCATACCGTGCGTTTAGCGGGTATGCAACTAGTGAGGGCTCAAGTTGTGTTCCAATGCTCTTTGAAATAGGAGTCGACCTACATTTTTCTAGTGACGACGGTAACTCGAGTAGTTTCGTCGATACATGCGGTTAACTGAGAACAATAATCGTAATGAATTAAATTTTTATAAAACAAAATAAAATCAAATCAAAATCAAAATTATTTATTCAGTCTAGGCTGTTACAAGCACTAGTGAAAGTCGAGAGCTACGCCATCGGTTCGTTAATCTACGGCGGGAGACCTTGAACCGAGAAGAACCGGCAAGAAACTCGGCAAGGGTTGCTTTTTTCTCCCTGTTTTATTTCATACAGAGCGTCAAGATTGAAAAATGATTTCATTAAAATATGAAGTCACTTTCCATTGCAATATTAGAAAATATAAGAATAAAACAGTATTTTCGTCAATCGAATCACATGTGTAGCCAAAGAAGCTCACCGATAAACAATGTACATGAAAAATGAGCCATATTTAACAGCAAGCAGTTTTGTCGTTTAAATATTCATTAACAGTATAATATCCTTTACTGAGTAGACAATTCTTAATATGGGTTCTAAACAATGGTAAATTTAAAATTTCCATAGGAATTTTGTTATAGTAGAGTTATACCCTACCCATAAATTATGATAGTACCTTCTTTAGCCTGTATGACGGCAAAACAAGTTTATCTTTGTTTCTAGTATTCAAATTGTGTATATAACTATGTTTAATGTAATTGTTAATATTGTTTCTAACATAAAGTATACAATTGTATATAAATTGGGAGGCCACTGTTAATATAATTGTTTGAAATCATCGAATAAGAAAGAATACCCGTACGTATTGAAAGTTTACGAAGCTATTTTAAGCGAGACCGGGTTCGCATCGCGTCGCGTCGTTTTATTTGTTCAGAATACTGAGAATGGGGTCAACGTGACTGCAAAAGGCAACGGTGATTAATGGAAAAAAAGAGAGAATCACGCCGATTCGGGATTGAATATTCTGAAAACAAACCTTCGTCGATCCGTTGCTGATGAGCCTATTCCCGGCCTCAATTGACGTCGCTCACAAATCAAATATGAATACGTAACGTCCAGTGCGTGTTTTGAACACACCGTATATGAGATA